AGGAATCCATGGAGAATTGGCAAATGCAACTGAGAAAATCTTGCTGTGTGTGTTCTAGCCGAAGCTGACTATCTTCTGCTTATCACAGCATTGATGGGCTTCTGCTTTTTCTGTTGATCATTCATTAAAAATGTTGAACTTTTTTTTCTAGATTGCTGATGTTTTTTGGTTTGTAGGGTTTTTCCACTTGTTCGCAGACTGAAGTAGAAATTCTTTTGTGCTGCCTGAAGAAGGAAGTGATTCTTCCTTTGGCTCTCCTATACCTTCTGTGGTTAACTTCACTGGTAGGCAGGAGTTCTCATGCTCTCTTGTTAACTCATAGGGCAAACGAGCGCAGTCTATTCTCTTGAACGACAGAGCTCAGTGGCTTTCCCTGGCCCTTCTGATTTAACTTAACGTAATTTAAAAACATTTCCTAAACTTGTTGCCTGATAGGGCGTCTCAGTTCTTACAGAGCAACTGCTGGAGAGTAAGTTTTCAAAATAGCCAGCAATTGCAAGGAGACTGGAAGAGATATTTGTATTCAGGGTGAAGGTTGTAGTTGCACTAAAATGAACACGCTGCACAGATTGTAGCTGGGAACAATTTACTTATTGCCAAGAATACGTTGAAACTAGTCTTCCTGAATAGATGCTGCTTAAGGATTTTGCTTAAATCACTGTGTGCTTTAGAGGTTCATGACATACAGGAATAGCATCTCTGCAGTGGAGTCTGTTTCTGTGCCGAATTTAACAGTTGAAAAATTGATGAGAAGCAGTCTGAGGCTTTTTTCTTGAGATTTCCTTTTTTCCTGAAAGAATCAGATAAACAGGATTTGCATTCTCTTTCAAAGTCTAACTAATCACTTGCACAAAAAGGACATTGAAATAAATAACTAAAAATGCTGCAGAAAAATCTCTGGTGGATGCTCTAAAGGGGTTGTAGCCAGACCTTTTTTGTTCATGCACACATCTTAGTAAAAAAATTTTTTGAGCATGCATCTTCAATGTTTAACTTATAAAAAAAAATACATGTATATATTGCTGTACTAACATGTACATCATAAACCATACATGAAAAAAGAATGAGATAGAGGTGAAATAAACACTGTATTAAGGAAAATTTTATTTATTAACAGTACAAAAAGCTTTTTATTTTCCTGTACTTGCAGTGCACACTAGGGCTAGTGCACACCGCACTTCGGAAATCACTACTCCAGAACACTTAAACTCTTAGTAGTTGCTTTGTTGTGGTAGTATTTGAAGCTTGAAGAGCTTGTCAAAAACTGGAAGTAAACTGACTACAGTGATCAGTTCATGCGTTCATCAGAGCTTTGGGAGGCTGCCAGCTGCTTACACTTACTGAATTTTTGGCTATTTCCAGAATGTGAGTGACTATTGTAACATTGAAACTAATAGTCTTTTTTGTCTGTTATTAGGAGCCCTTTAACTGTCAGTTGGTTTGTTATTCTAATACAGCAAAACTTTGGAACTGTTGGGCTTCTTCAAGCTAATGACATTCTTCTTGCTGAATCACACTGCAGAGCTCTTCTTGTTTCTGCCCCTCTCTCCACAGTGCTCTGCTGAAAATGGTAATTCTCACAAGATGGTAGGATCTTTATCCAGCATATGGTGGGATCTTTTCATCTAGCCTAGGCTGCCAGAGTACTTTCCTGTCTTTAAGCAGACTGATTGAACAGTGATCTTTCTAACTGAGGAAAAAATGAGTATGTTTTAAAGCATATTTTAATTATATATGAAGTGGTGGATGGTTGAAACAAGTGTTTAGCTCTGGCAGGTGCTCTAGAGTCCTGGCTGAGCATGAGAGCACCCAGCAGTGTCTGCTGCTCAGCACTGCTTGTAAGTGAAGCGTTTTTTACAACGTTGTCAGCTGCCTGTTCCAGCCACAAGTATTTTTGCCTTAGTTTCCCTTTTAATATATCATTGCATCTCCCTAATTTGTTAAACAAATGGTAGGATTAATTTCCGATTGGCCTTTTCATGGGCGGTTTATAGAATTAGGCAGTCTTAGTAACAAACCCCCGAAAAAGTCAGTTTACTTTTTTAACTGGAAAAACAAACTAAACTATCAGCTTCAGCCTCCAAAACAGGTGCACAAGCGTAACATCTGTGACTTTGTTGACTTTGTTAAGTAGCTGAGCCTTGACTAATAAGCTGCTCGTAGGTCAAACTGTGACCTTCACAGAACTTTCATTAATGCTTCAGCATAGTTTTCTTAATTGTTTCTTAGAAGTAGATACAACGAGTGTGTGTTAGTCAGCAGGTCTGTGAAATAACAAGGCTATAAGTGATCCCTCCTCTAGTCACACTGTAAGTCATTGCTGTAACCTCATGTGCCTAATTTTGAAGTCCCAGAGCTAAGAACAGTTAAACTTGTATTTTTGGGGTTGCTTTAGTGCTCTTTTGGAACCATGGTTTTGAAAACAAATATTCACCTGCAACTTCTTAATTAAAAAGCTGATTCCTTCGGAGAGAATTTAAATGATGCAACAGAAACTAAATAGGCTTATTTGCTTTTAAGGAAGAAAAGCAACATTTAATGAGCTCTGCCTTACGTTGCTCAGATGTCTCTTGCCTTTTGGTTTAATAAACCATTTGCTATGCATGAGAAGTAACAGCAAAATTTCTTCTTTGATATTTGTACTTAGATAGTGTACCTTATTTATATCTGACCTTCTGTGGTCTTCTGTTAGAAAGTCAACCTTTCACAAATTGAAATCAGTTAGTCAAGCCTTTACCAAAAAGCTGGAGTGGTCTAGAGCTGTCAAGCATGTAGGCTGATTTTGAGCGAAAACAAGCACCCTAGCCGGTATAGCTGTTAAAAATAACATGTCTGTTACCGCAGTAGCAGGTAGTGTGCAAGGGCTTTGTATATATTAAAAGCAACCTACAGGGTTGGTTAACCCTGTCTTAGTTTTTCCCTGCTACAGAAAGTTGACAGGCTGCAGAGTTTGAAGTTGTAGGGCTGGCATTTGGATTTTGATCAAAATTATTTAGGATAGTGCAATGTAATTTGTGGAAAACATGGAAAATTCAAATTTGTCTCATAGTTTCAAAATAGAAAGGACCGGCAAGTATCCTAAATGCATATGTACTTCTGCTATATTTAAAATCGCAACTGTTGTATGGTAATCTGAAGTGTTGAAGTTCAGTGGTAGGACTTCTGACTTGCCACAATCAGCCTTATCTGTTAGATTCCTCAAGCTGATAAGCACTGTAGTCTCTGCCAAAAACGCAGCTAGTCTTGGTTTCTCCTTATGCCTCTTGTGGTGTTTCTTCCAAATTGATGTTTGCCCCTGTGCTGTCTTGGTTGCTACTTGCAGATTGATTTCCTCTGGAGTGCTCTTTGCTGTCTCTGCTAGCTTTTCTGAAGGGCTATATGTGCTTTCATTTTTGGACCTGCAGCTGCTTAGTTACACCAACTGTTCTAGATCCTTTTTAATCCTGTGTCTGCTGGCAGGCAAACTTTTTGAGCTTTACATCCTCTTCGGTATGCTCAGCAGACTCTCTCTGTTGCACTGTCAAACTTCTTATCATCTTAATTTTGCAGCTTCACTTATGTCTTAGCATTTTTTCTTGATTTTTTTCGTTATGCTGTTACAGCTTAAAACTGATCCTCATGTTTTTACTTGTTCTAAGCAAAGTTTATACCTCAAATAACAATGTGGAAATTGCATTCTGGAATTTGGCTTCTGAGGTGAGCCCTTTCATCGCAAATAGCCATGAATGTTCTGATACGGTCTTCAAAACATGAGCTGGGAAAGTGTCGTGTCTGTAGTTTGTCACTGCAGAGATGGTTTATCTGTGTAAGACCCTTGCATAATTTTCATCCTCATGCAAGTACTGTTTGCTGCCAAATGCTTACAGAAAGTCAGCAAAGTTCTATAAACTTCTGGAGAGTTTTGTTGATATTCATTATTTGTGCAGATAGTCTTTAATAGCCACCCATGACCTCCTAAATGGTGTTTCTCATGGACAGGGCACTAACCTCGATCTGTTTGTACCTTTTCGAGTCACAGTGCGGGTCTCCAGCCTGTGGATACCTCACCGCGGCTGTAGGGCGTTGCACTCCCCAGGGTCTCAGAAGGGGGGAGATTTCTGAATGTAGTAGGAGTTAGTGGCAATTTTGCATAGTCATCTGTTTTATATTTGGAGCTTTTATTTCAGTTTAAGTGAGCTGCCTACTGGAGAGAGGGAAGCCTGGAGGATCTTCTTTCAAACGTAGGAGGGAGTTTGTTTCCTAAATGAGGTGGCATCAGATACAGATGACTGGGAACAGCCGTATTTCAGCTGTGGTACTTTTAGAGGCTTTCAGTCAAGGTAGCAGCACAACCCAAGTTGTTCAAAGCACAACCTCTATTTCTGTAGTTCTCTGCCTGATAGCCTGCCTTTTTGTCTTTTCAGTCTTCCTAATAAAATATCATATCATAGCCCTTTCAGGGAAGAAAGATGACAGTTAAACAAGGCTTACTGCTCTTGAACAGTGTCTTAAAGACAAACAAACTTCTCGCAGTTCCATATAAAGGTTTGAATATGCTGATCAGGCAAAACAAATTGGTGTTCTGTAAAGAATAATATTTTAATTAAAAGTGGAATGATATTAATGTAACCTTCTAGTAGCTACTGAAGCTGATTTGGTGACTAAAAGTCTTGGGTTCCATAGGCCTTTTTCTCTTGATGCATACCTTTTGAGGTAGTTTAGTTAGACTAGAACAATTCAGATTGTGCAGTGATCTAGATGATTGGTTTGAGTTTAAAACAAAATAAAATCCACATTTTCCAGTATTGGGCACAATTTTGTTGGCATAATTTAAGGAAGAAGATTGTCTGTGAAACATTTTATTGTTCCAACACTAACAAGGTCTTTTTTCAGTGTATTAGTCAACTTCGTACACTAGAACATTTCAGCATTGTGGTATAATATTATAGCAAAACTTATTTTTATTTTCAAGAAAATTACTCATGGAAAAGCTTTTTACTGACTTATAACATCTCTTCTAGATGAAGAGGGAAATCAAGATGAATCACTGGAGTCAAAGGTGAGGAAAGAAGTTTCTAGTCAGTCTGTTTTTCATGTGGAGTGATAGTAAAGGTTGGAAGTTCCAAACTATGATTTGATTCCTGTTTTAAGCTGTTCTATAGCTCTTGCTGTTTCATTAATTTTGTGCATTGGAAGAATTATTGTTGTGTTGTATCCTCGAATATTTTATTTGAGGAGCTGAAAGGAATAGAGTTAATAAGAGCTGATAGATCAGGTAGCTCAACTTCTGATACTACTGTTTAAACTTAGTACATTAATAAATCATCTCTTAAAAACGTAATGTGTGGGGGTTTTGCCAGCTGCTGCTGTTCATTTTCTAATCTTCTAAATTATATGGCTGCTTTCCTCCAGACTTTATCTTCAGAGGACCAGGTAAAGGACCGTTCCACAGGAACTCGAGTGGTAGCAGGTCAGATCTTCCTTGAATCAGGGAAGTCGGACTCTCAGTCAGAGGATGAAGAGAACTTTCACAGTCAAGAGGAAGAAAAAGGGAATTCACTGGATGAATTGAACTCTCTAGAAATGTCAAATCTATTAAATAAGGATTTGGAGGAAGCAGAAATACAGAGTCCAGGTAACTGCTCACAGACTTCTGAACAAGAGGCAAGAAAGATGAATCTGAGTAACTTTGGCATGGGGATGAACTCAAACAGTAATTTTGAACATATGAAATAACTAGTGTCCTAATCTTTCTGGAATTAAATGGTAATTGCTGCCTTTTCCATTAGATAGTAACATCAAAAGGTTTCCAAATATATTGCAGTTGAAATCTGAGTGGTTACTTTTAGATGCATTTGCGAGAGTTTTCCATAATTCTTGTTGTTTCCATCTTGTTGGAAAACTTTAACTATCAAATGGAGAAAGCACCAATTTCTTCAGATAGAATCCAAAGTACACACACTGTGCTGTGTGTATGTATATCAGCCATAGAAAGAGAACTTGCGTCAGTGTTTCAGCCTGCTGGCTCTTTGCCTGGAGAGTCAGTTGATAGAGAAGGAGCAAATTGTGAAGCCAAGACAAGCTTCCTAGGATGGCACTGGGAGCATTAGGACAACGTCCAAATGGCACGAAAACTTCAGTAAGTTCTTAAATGTAGGTAAAACCTCATGGCCAAACCTCATGGCCTTGTGCCAAAATTCTCAGGGAATTCTAGGATTTGTCTTACTACTAATAAAAATTAAATTTGACTTTGTTGACTTGCAATTAGTAGTGGATGATAACTAGGTGGCACAGTTGAGTACCCTAGCTTGCGCAGCAAAGAATTTTTCTTTTTGCTTGTCTGTAAAAAATGAGAAAACAATACCAAAAAATATAGTTACAGTGTAATATTAGTATTTGTCTAACTTCTCACCTCAAAATGTCATGAGAAAGCAAGAGTTATGAGAGAAATGAGCTCCATTATACACTAACTTCAGTGTTTTCCAGTAAGCCTTATTTATTAATGCAGAACTAATATACAGTTTGTAAAAACTCAGTAATAGGATTAAATATTGCTGTCAATAGGTGCAGTGGTGTACAGGAAAAAGGTATATAAAATCCACTAAATAGCTTGCTACCGCAAAACAATGAACTAAGCACCATATTTAGTCAGTGCAGTCTATTTCGAAAGTAAACTTTTAAGATACTTCTAATCTCTAATCTGGTGGCTTGCTCCTTTGGCAACTAAGGGTTTTCACTACACATGTCAAAGTACTGCAAGTGACAAACATAAATTTAAGTCATGTGCAGTTTTTGGAACTTCTTAGGAAGTAAATAAGTCGTGTAGATGGAAGGAGTGCTGTTTCTAAAAGCAATTCTGAAGGGAAAGAACGAGGGTATTCTGACCGGAAGAAGGGCAGCTCTACTGGCAGACTTTTGAAGTGAGCAGGAATCTACTTCAGGTTCAGATGTTACATCTCTTGAATGAGCTGCTGGTGACAGGACTGCATTAAGGGAGATTAAAGCTTTTCTAAATACAGTTTCACTCCTTTGCATGGTCATGAGATGACAAGGATTAAAAAAAGTATTCTTCATGTTTTCACTTACGTTTTGCATGATACTGACCAGGGGAAAAAGAAATAATTGTCAGTAATTTAGAATTGGTGCTACCAAGACTTTTAACTTTCAAAGAAAAAAATTGTCCTGCTCTCTTCTGAGTTGTGAGAAGGCTTTGTATGTAAAGAAAAATTGTATTTTTAAGTTATTTATCTTTTGTGTTTTATGTTTTTGTGTTCCATACTAACAGTTCCATACTAACAGTTAGTTCCATACTAACGGTTTTTGCTGAGAGCTGGCCATAAGTTTATGCAGAGCTGGCAATTCCTTTTTTTTTTTGTGCTCCTGTTTGGAGGAATCTTACAGTAATGTAACAGATATTTATAAGTAATCTATATTTGGATTTACTGCAGCATAAAGTATGAGATGAGATATAGGTAAATAAAGATAAAACACAAATATACCATATACTTTATTCAGGCATAGTAAAGTAGGTAAATTGCTACTTGCACACTCAGTTTGACAAAAAATAATTTATCCTCAGAGTAAATTACTTGCCTCAGTTTATATTTATCATTAAGTACATGATAAAATAACTGCAATTAACATTTTATCCTGTGATTGCATTGCTGTATTGCTTTAGGGGTTAGTATTTGTTACTCTCTGGGCGGAAAAACAGCCTCATGTTAGAATTTAGAATTAAACAAAGGCAAGGGGAAGGACTAGAACAATTTCATAAGTTTAGCGTACAGCTAACTCCCATGCCAAGCACTGAGTAAAAGCTTTGGGTCCAGTTCCTTTCAAGTGCAGGTGACAAGGTACCAAAGAAAAGTAAAACTTAAAGTTTTCAAATAATGTTAATATGCTGGACCAGAGTTTGTTCAAATACCGGTGGTAAGAGGCCCCATCAGTTGTAGCTGTAAGTACCCTTAGCATGCATTTGTATGTTACTCGCTTTACATATGTCTAAATTCCAGGCTAATTGCATCTGGACATATTATTTTTTAATGCAATTTCTGAAAATAACGTTTTTCCTTTTATGTTGTGCGATAATTAACGTGGAGTGGTGTGGTAGAACATGTGCCAAGGAATCAAATTATGAGGAGTAATTTGAGCAGGCTAATCCTGGAGACTTCCTTATGGTTTGCAAAAATCAGTATTAATTTTTTTAATTAACGTGATCTCTAGGCCTTATAATTATAGACCATAGAGAAAAAAAAGAACTAGCTTTCTCTATAACCACAAGAATTAGAAACTTGAAATGACACTGTATGATTGACTTTCTCAATTGCATGAGTTTGTAAATATCTTCAAATGAAGCTGAACCCAACCGCTCGATTTAGCTTAGTGAAGGAGAAAAACCTCTATAAAAGGCTAATTGAAATAATTATTTTTTTAAAAAAACAAGGGTAATTCTTAGTCTTTATAGAAGATTGATTTTTATTTAAAAATATTGGAATCGGTAACCTTTGAAGTTCCAGTGCATGAGAAACGATAAATCGTGCTGCTCAAAGAATTCTGAATGCAAAGTGAAATAAAGTTTTCAATATAAGTTTTATGCAACAACAGAAAATGACTAGACTTGTAGTGATTTCATTTAAGTCTTTTTTTACAGTTGTGTGATCTAAGTGTACTCCCTGCTGACACCCAAGTACTTTCAGTAAAACAGCTGACGTGAGTGGTTCTGTCATGACTGTGTCTGGCCCTGTGGCTAAAATGAATATATGCACTGGCATGAACTTCAGAGGTAGTCATGAGGAAGGGAGTGCAGAAAAAAAGAAAGTGAAAGAAAGGGCTATTTATTTTAGTAGATGATAAACATGTTACTGAGATTTCCTTCTCCAATCTAAACAAAAATATTTGCTTAGAACTAAGAAATACAAGAAACAGCCTTCCTTCTGTTTCATTTCCTAAATAAAAACACTACTTTTTCAAGTGCTATGGTCTTTGTAAACTAGAAATGTTACTGAAAACTTGATTAAATGCAATTTGTAGAAATTAAAACCAACACAGGAGTGTCTTCCTGTATATTGTAGATTACTTTGTAGAATAAAAGAAATAGAAGAAAGCCCTCTTCATTCCTGGGCGTGTATTTTCAGTTTTGACAGCTATTGGAGGCACTGCAGATGGTGAACCTTGCCACTTCCCCTTCTTGTTTCTGGAGAAGGAGTACGCAGAGTGCACTGCAGATGGGCGGGAAGACGGCAGGCTCTGGTGTGCAACGACCTATGATTACAAGAAAGATCAGAAGTGGGGCTTCTGTGAAAGTAAGTAGCCTGATGTCTTGCACTTGACCCAGGAATGCTTTCTTAAGGTGCTGTTTTCAGTCTTCTTAATTCCCTTTATTTCCAGGTCTAGAAGCCCCTGTCATATATTAATGGCCACTTCGTGCTGTGATATACAAGTAATTATAAAAGCAAAATTTTTACGATGGAAAAGATTTCAATGCAAATTCCCCTTCTTCTCAAAGCTATTTGGGAAATCTTGCGGTGGAGGCATCTATACAACTTGTAGTTTCTGAGGCTGTAGGAGGTTTGACAGTGTTTCCTGTTAGACTTGCTGATTCGTTGCACAAAGCAACCTTCTCTAGGTAGTGTCCTCCTGAAGGAGGAACCTTTCTTCCGTGCACAGCTTGCTCTGGGGCAATGAAAAGAATATTTTAACAGCAAACTCGTAGATGAGAGGTATCACATGAGAAGAAACTGTTTACCAAGATACTCGGCACCTCCTTTAGACATCGTTTTGTAGTCACTTGGGTTGGTTATTGGTCTTCAAAAACATACTTCTATCTGTATTTTCCCTTTAGAAACTATAGGAGTTTTGAGATAATAGCCTTGAGTTGCGTAACTGGAGCTCTTAATGTACTGTTTTCTTTTTTTTAGCTGAAGAGCAGTCTAATAAGAGAAGGCAGATGCAGGAAGCTGAGGATGTTTATCAGACTGGAATGAAAATCCTTAATGAAAGCAGCAAAAAGTCTCAGAAGAAAGAGTAAGTCTACATTCTTCACCTTGTAAGAGAAGGATGCTATGGCTGGTCACTCTGGCTTAACTGAAAAGTAACTTGAGCGAGTTGCTCTGCGACTTAGTGCTTTATTGGACTTGGCGTCCAACTGTGCAGTGATAGTACTGAAAATAAATAATAATTTCAGGGTATTTAGAAAAACAAATTTATGCTTGTTTTCCTCTGAATCCATAAAAAGTTGTATGAGATGAGTAGGACCAGTCAGCATGGCTTTGCCAAGGGGAAGTCATGTTTGACCAACCTGATAGCCTTTTATGAAAATGTAACTAGGTGGATGGAAGGTGGCTGTGCAATGAATGTGGTCTATCTGGATAGATACCATCTCTCACAGCATCCTCATAGCTAAACTG